ATTAATCAATACCGCAAATAACAACATTAACCGAGAATATAAGCCAGAAATATCCTAAACATCCTAAAGGTCATATCTACAAACGGGACTGGAAAGGTCAGAAAATAAAATCTAGTTAGCAGGTGTTGAAACCGCCTGCTGAACGGCCATTTTTGCTAAAACCGCCCTGAAACGTTTGGTTACGGCCGTCATATCCCATCCATCATGCACATTCATTGATTCATCAAGTATTTCGTTCGCTTCGTTCATTCGCACATTCTCCCTTTGTTTCTTTGCTCATTCATTCATTATGTCGTTCGTTCATTCGTTTGTTTATTTATTCATTCATCTGAGATTAGTTTTCAAAGATGAATTGAAGTTTGAACGTTCGTTGTGAATTTCTCTGCATATCACATCGTCATTAACACTTATCGGTCCACTTCTGGACTTTGTCATATATGCCACTTTCATCCATCTATCCATTCAGCACACTCCTTCAGCTCATTCTGCCATCGATCTGGAGGTCTTCCAGAGGTTCGTTAACTTTCTCTTGGCTTGGAACCCAATGTGATGTCTCTCCGGCCCAAAGGTTTTTGGATCATCTTGCATTCTTGCAAAACGTCTTATCCACTGTCGCTTTAACATTTTCACTCAGGCAATGACATAGTAGACTCTGGTTTGTGGTCTTGCTCATTTATTTTTTTCTGTTTACAACATACATGTTCCCAAGCTGATTTGCGTAGTTTGCAGCCTAGGAAGAATCTTCAGGCTTGGGGTCTGCTCTTTGCACCAATAAGTTAGCATTTGGAAAACGTACATACAGAATATTTTCCGTTTCATAACTAAGGACAATTGTGGAACGATTTTCAATATTCTATAAATGCTCTATGCCATTTTTACTCATCTGTAGTTTTTCCAGAAAGGATCCTCCGTGACGTAGTTCGACACTTTTCAAGCCCAAGCTCATCGACTGCAATAGGTCGCGGCCGGGTATTTGTTAAGCATGATCAGAGTCTTTCCTACGTGTATTTTCAGTACTACTTTGATGCCGGCATCGCCCAGCTCTTGGAGTTTTCTTTAGAGAGTTCCCCGGCTACCTTTGAGAGGATCAGGATGTCTTCCGAAAACCGCAGTGACTTCGACAGTGCCCAATTACGTTCAACGATTGATTTTGCTAGGGTACGTCGTGAAAACATATTCTAGCTCTGCTGTGAATAACTTCAGAGAGAAGACGACGCCCGAAGTCGTACTAGCATTCCAAGGATCGAATAAATGTGTGTTCGATCTTCAGTCCTTTCGATGCAATGTCAATTCTAAACAGATATTCACATTTTGTTGGAAATCTTCCTGGCGGCCATCTGCCATCAATCTTTGCGTTCAATGTGCACTTTGTCAGGCTGCTTCGTCCGTTCGTTGCCGAAGACTCGATCCTCTTAATCGCCTTGTTTAGTCGGTCACTCTAACTGAATATTCTAATCTTTCTTTGAACTGCGTTTGAACCAGGTCTTTTCGCCTCACTCCTAATGTTGATCGTAAAACTATTTGCATTGATTTTAGTTTGCCGTTTTTACCTCTGTAAAGTGCTATGTCTTCAGGAGGGATGCTATAGTGCAAGAAGTTCAGAATGCAAGTCTTGCGTTGCTTGCAGAGATAAGGATAAAGATAAAGATAAGGACAACCATTTTAGTTTAAAATAAATTCGATAGTATTGATAGTGATGAAACAAACAAAACTTAGATCAGACTGTCAAATCGTAGCCACATGACACTGAACAGAAGCGCATTGACTTAAATGTCAAAATGCGTGGGAACGTTCCGGAATCATAAGCTGGGAGTTGTAGCGGAATTGCTAAGTAGAGCGTATCAAATTCTGTGTTTCTTTTCAGCAGCGTGTCTGTTTAATAGCTACATGTAATTATGATGATCGGTTTGACCTGTAATGTTTTCAAGAATCATCATCGGCGGAGATTCGATCGCTGCACCGTCGCAGCAACCCGTGACACTCTCACCGGTAGCTTGGTCGCCAGAATAACTCTGCTCACTTCGAACACACATCTCGATGCTGCAACAAGTACACGGACTAACTTGGGGAGGGTGTGGGAACCGGAACATGTGAGATTGCAATGGAAAACCACTTTTTTCAGGTTCATGTAAAGTTTCCTCAGTGATGACGCATTATTCCCATAAACAGAAATGAACTCCGCGGTAGGTTTTGGCTCACTAAGCAGAAAAACTGCTGGCGATTAGTAGACCTTAGAGCTCGTAGTAATCCGGACAGTGTGGCCGCTGGTGTGATCGTTCGGCATGGTCTGAAATTTACTGAAATGTACATGACCACTGTCCGAGTAACTTATTTGGGCTGTTGTATGAGGCTTTAACTTCATAACTTCTTCGAAGCATCGTTTCAACCTTTCGAGAACGGCAGCAGTACGAATAGAAGAAACCTCGACAACAGAAAGCCGAAGTAGGGTGAAGCGACCACAGACTTGGACGCTTCTCAACCCAATTAGGAACGAGAATTGCGTCAAAGTCGACTTTGCTAGGAAATTACTAGCCTTGCCAGTAGATGGAGCGAAGCAAGAAGACAAAATCAAGTGTTCCTCGAAACGTGTCCGTCACTCACTTCGTTACGAAGGAAGCAAGTTTGTAGCCGTCGTTGGAATATCGGTGTTTCGCATTTCATTAGAGGTTGTTACTGGCGCCCTTCATTTCACTGACGTAATGGTGGGGGGTCGAAGTCTGATCTCTATTTGCGTATTATCGGCCAGGAGTGCCTTATTTTTGAAAGGCAGAGCAGACAGCAGCTATGAAACTAGCACAGTCTCATGTTTCATTCCACAAAGTGGCATTCATTTGCCGGGCATTCGAGCCCTGCACGTTTCGGTTCCATGCCCGATGCCCTACGGAAGCGACCGGTGGCAAATTCCTAGCTGAAAAGAATTTATGATAAAGACGAAGATTGCCATCCGCCGGAATCAAACCCAGTTCCCTCGGAATTCGAAGTAGACCTCTTAGGCACTGTGCCATCACGCCACACAGTCTGTTTACCTCTCTGTTCAATTAATGCGTGGATAATTTACATGTAATTTGCATGCGGTGAACTTACTGTCTCAGAAAATATCGTGTTGCCGTCTAAGGACCGGAATAAGTACATTTTTTAAAGCTGATCGATTTTCCGCATGACAAGAAGGACGTTGTCAGCAGGGCGATGACCTGTCATTTGCACAACGGTTGAACTTCATTTTCTCTCGTTCCTACTGTCGAATTCTGTACAAGGTGTTCGTCAGACATATCGATTATTCTGTCTGAAAATTCAGGCCATGTTAGAAGCTAAACAGAGCTGACAGATTTCTGCCGAGATTGTTCTGCGAAAAACAAGAATTAGCTAATACATAGAAATAGAGGTCCGGAGCAAGGCAATGCAGGCAGATTCGCTGCTTGTTTTCGTCTTCCATAGCTACTAAACTTTAAAGTGAAGATCACCCTACCTACCTCATTGCCTTCGTTTTGTTCATTTCTTCTATCCATCAATCTTCCTTCCTTTCTTTCCTCCTTTGGCTGGTCACTTTCCTACTTTTTTCCTCCTTATGCTTTGCTCCTCTCCTTCGCTTGAGCACCCCTCTTTTATTTCGTTCGTCCGTCCTTCATCCCAGTCCAAAAGCTTGACTGATTCAAACCACACCTATTGATTCGTCTCTAGCTGTTCGCTTGCTCGTTTGAAAAATGAAGGACCACCAAAATCCAACGTAAAATTAACGAAAGTGCTTAGTTGTGCAGGTCTTTGGTCATGTAACTGTACGAATTGATCTTAAGGCGGTTCGGCATCGCTTTCGCTCGCACTTAGGCGTTCAGACAAGTCCTATAGAATTAAAAGCTCATTTGATGCAGTTCTGATCGATAGTTTATCGTCGGAAGAAAGCCAGCTGACGACTACAGAGGCTATCAGCCTCCGTCCGGTCGTTACGTCAGTCATGAACAGGACGAACGGCTGAGTACCGACCGAATGGTCGATGGTGACGTTTGCACAGAAATGGATCCGAAAAGTCGATGTCGATTTCAGCATCGATGCAGCCGTCTGTCTGTCTGCCTGTCTGTCTAGCCTCCGCCCTCGCTCGTACTTCGAACTTCGACATATGGTGGGTGGAAACAGAGGGACAGACATACAGACAGATACACGACGCGAACGATCTTTACGTGGACGGCGGCATTTAGACGGCAATGCCGCACGAATTCATGCCATATGGCTGCTGGTCGAACGACGAAGCAACGACGAATCATCGCAGTGGAACGATGAGGCCGGCACGCGTGACGTCCTGCGACGAGGTGAGCGAGGAACGTTGCGTGAGGAAGAGAGTGCAGCCGATTGTTCAACCGAAAGAGCCGAGCCGGGCATACATTGTTTCCTGTTTACGCCGTCGTTCCATTCGTTCACGATCACTCATATAACTGTTTACCATAAGTCACTAACTGAATACAGAGACAGAAATGAGGGGACATTCGAGGGAAGGGAGGCAATTACGTAAACGTGACCGACAGGTCGATTTGCGGGACATGACGGCCACCGTCACGATAGTCGCCCGTTGTCACGGACACTCTAATGGCTCTAACAGCCCCTCGCAGCATTCACGCGTGACGAACGACCGAACCAGCGCATTACCTAGCGTAGAAAACAATAAGATTTCAAACACGTGCAATACCGCAAATGATGCTTCTTCCGCTTCAGCGAAAGTTATATGTAAAAAATAACAGATCATCGTACAAATGTAGGAAATACGACAGGAGAAGCATTTGTTAATCCGACAATGGCCCCTCTCTGCCATACGTGGTTTGTAGAACTGCTACAAAGTGGAGTAGCCGTGGCTTAGGTACGAAATAATGGTTTGCTGCTTCACACGTGACTGCTGCAGACTGCATGACTGCTACATTTTACGACAGTGATATTTAACGAGGACAGTATGTACCCTTTCTTGGACCGATCATCCTCAGCGTATGTTTGAAACCTCGTGAGAAAATTGTTTACACTAGATGAAAGCCGCAAATCATAACAGCAAACCATGTACAGACAAAGTCTGACCGCCACAGTGCAGACAAACGATCGTATACGGATTCGGATTAATAAAATTTCTAATGACGAATGACTCTGAGACCAGATTTTACGACTTGTTCCGTTGCCACCTGCTCCTAGCTACCGATGTGGACATTTAATCAGGTCACAGCTCCATGATATTGCAGCCGTTCAAATACCATTCACCGATGGCCTGCTTAAATGACTCTCACTAGGCAACCATGTGCTGAGATGGAGGGATGCAGTACACTCTTAAACCTGGTTTTCGAGGAGTGATTCCTTATTTGACATACTTTGGCTAGCGAACGAACAGCTTTTGATATGAAGCAAAACTTCTGACAGTTTTATTAGAAAATCTTACAACCTTTAGCTCCTAAGACCGGATATAACTGGTAGGAAATGAGACGGTAGATGGACGTATGAAAGCACTGATTGATGGAAGGATGAGGAATTGCATGTTGGATCGATATATCAGTGGACGGACGAAGGTATGGTCTAAAGGGAGTAAGGGCGGAAGAAAAAGAGGACGGAAGAAACAAAGTGAGAAAGAACAGGGGAATGGGGGAGGCAACGAAAAATGAACGGAAGAAAGAAAGAGAGGCATATTGAGATGTCCGCACTTCAGTCTCAGTTGTGATGCTGTTGTAACCACGTTTCTGTTCATCAACTGACTTTGCTTCTGAGAGTTCGATGAACATTTTAATTAAACAGCAACTGTAAATTATAGTTACAAACCTCACAATTAAGAAGACTTATCTCGAGAAGGAAAACATTAATCATTTTGATGATCACATAAGAGAGATACTTCGACCTCAATTTCTTTGCTTACTTATTTCGAGCATTCGACAGATTGCTTGACAAACGCACTATTTCCAGCTGCTCTATATTTCTTACCTGTAACATTTTTTGACATTGTTGAACAAGATTTTCGCGATTGTCATTTCTAGCACTGATTAATAATGCTGAATAAACATAAGTAACAAACCTCTGTAGAAAACCAGTCTCCGCGGGCTAATGCATGGAAACTGCATGCGCTGTTCTTTAATTGCCCACAAGCCATATCTCCTTAAGAAATTACATCCAATAAGGAAAGATCACTTCAGGTTCCTATCCAAAGTAACTTCTTTCTATAATTGTAACTCAGTTGAACTCCGTTGATAGCAGACAGTTACTAAGGTCTGGTTCCTTTCGCATCATGAACAAACCATCGTTCTAAGATCAAATAGAAGTTATTTGAAGTCACCTGCGGGCAGTTACTGGCTCCCAAAGTAGTTATGTTCTGCCACCGTACATATTGAACAGCTAGTGCTA